AATTTTATTCCACGCATACATTTTTTATTTGTTGCAATTAATTTTTCCCCTTGATTTACAAAAATTGATTAAAGTCACTGCCTGGGGTTGGCGCTGTGGTGCAGTGGCTAACATCCCAGCCTGAAGCACCGGCATCCCCTATCGGCACTGGTTCTAGTCCCGGCTGCTCCTCTTCCAATCCAGCTCTCTGCTATGGCCTGGGAAAGCAGTAGAAGATGGCCCTAGTGCTTGGGTCGCTACACCATGTGGGAGACCTGGAAGAAGCTCCTGGCTCCTGGCTTCAGATCAATGCATCTCTGGCCATTGCAGCTATCTGTGGGGTGAACCAGCAGATGGAAGACCTCTCTCTCTGTCTCTACCTCTCTCTGTAACTCTGTCTTTTAAATAAATAAAATAAAATAAATCTTTAAAAAAAAAGTCACTGCCTTTTCCTGGCATAGGTGGTATAAACATTTGAAAGATCCTTAGAATAATTGGTCTGTATTTCTTATTTTAAAGATAAGTTAACTCAAGCTCAGAGGAACTTTACAAGGGTGTACAGTTAATATCTGAGATCAAACAAAACTTAGTTAAGGAAATTATTACCAAACTACTGGCAATGATTATCAACAATGTATGGACTAACAGTAGCAATGAGCTTGATGTATTTTCAGATTCAAAAAATTGAAACCATGAATCAAACAGTGGGAGGTGGCTTAAAAATGTACACCAAGCTACCTGGGTAGAGTAATGAGGGTGGAATTGGACAGAAGCACAAAGGGGCTTTGAGAAATTCATGGAGAATGAAATTTAACAGTGTTTGTTTTGTGCAGAAATTGTTGAAAGCCATGCTCACCGTCTTCAAAAAGATCATAAAATAAACCAGGCATGATTTCAGACCATTTTGCACCAAAATAAACATGTTTGTAAAACCTGTTTCTCACAACTTCTGCAAGTATTCACCTGTTCCTCAGGCCATCCCTTGTCCCTCAAAGCACACTGTTGCCCAGTTTGAGAATGTAACAAAGTTACACCTCGATTGAGTACTTGAGGGAGGACCCAAGAGAATACAAGAGCCGTGGTTCCTCACTGCGCCTTTAAGCTTGGTGAGCGAGCCCCTTCCTGGGGCCTCTCCTGGCAGCACATCCTGAGCACAAGTCTGCCTGGCATGACTCACCGCCTTTCAGATCCCATTCTCCCAGCAAGAGAGGAGGAATCGATCTCTCACAAGGCTGCGTCTGGGCTGGAGACTGGGTGGTCATTAACCTGTTCTTACTCCTCACGCTGCTCATGGAAGGAATCCCAGCATCTCGGTGGGTTTTGGAAAAGTACTGGTAACGTACGTCTCAACAGCACCAAGTGGGCTTTTGCAAGGGGCTTGCTCCAAAACAACAGCGCCATCTCCTCACACACTAAGAGCCCTGCATTCCAGCAAGCCACCAGAAGCCCAAGTTAAAGATGAGTCTGTGAAATATTTACTCTTGGTTTGCCGCTAGAGAAATGATTCATCCAATAAGCAGAGCAAATAGGATCTCTCAGAGGCGTGGGGACAGCCTTTTGCGCTGGGTGAGGAAGAAGACGAACGCATTTGTGTTTCTGCAAGTCGTTTCTGAGGCTCTACAGTCTTAACTGCACAGGAGTGCCTGAGTGGGCTGGAAGGGTTAACTCAGCTCCTAGGAGTCCTAAGCTGCCTGTGGTTGGGTGAATTGTGTATTCCCAGACTCTGGTTCAATAAAAATGTAAATGTTATCTGGGTACACAAAACATATTTCACGGTGATAATGAATCTGTTGACATACCGTTCATACTTGATTATATACATTTTAGTAATGTATCTGCCAGAGAGAAAAGTGAGTGCACAGCGAAACAGTCCGTGCTTAGCTGTCTATCCCCGGAGTGGCTGGCACATTCTCCCTCTGCCCTTGGTGAGCTCTGCCTGCCTGCCTTTATTTAATCAATCAGGGCCCTGTGGACGCTGGGAGGAACACGATAGCATTCGTATTGACTGAGCCAATCTAACTGGATTTGAAATAGGAGCTAGAAGATGGGTTATTTTTAAAGCAAAACCCGTTGATGCATAAGCCTGTCCTGCAGGCTGATTACTTAGCTAGGCAGTCGATCAGGTGAGTCCTAGTGTGTTCACGGGCCGGCAAAGATGACCACAGAGGAGGGAAGAGTGGTCTGGAGTCCCTGCAGTGGAAGCCTTGTTCAAGGGTGGGCACTGCGTAGGCTTGGCAGGTAGGGGAGAGATAGGGAGGCTGTGTGATGCGACGTGCTAGCAGGACTGGCTTTCCCGTTTGCAGGGTTGCAGGGTTTGGTGCAAAATGAAGTCTTTTGTTGAAAAGTCATTGAGAATTTCCAGGTGGGGACAGCAGCAGCTTACCCCAGTGAACAGCCGGAAGCCTGCGTGCCTGCTGGGTTAGGGCAGAAGGCTGCCCTCTAGCGTTGCAGGGGAAAGGAATCCTTTGAAAGCTTCCTTTTCTTTGTTGGCTTTTACTTCCTGGGCCGTCAGAGCTCTCACAGGTGGTGTCTGTGTGCATTTTGTCACAGGTGCGTTGACGGGGAGTGGATTTATGGGAGGATCTTCCTGCTCTCTGCCTTCCCCCCTGAGAGCAGCTCCACTACCTAGAGGTGCAGACAGGACCTGGCGGAGTCCTTGGGGCTTTCTGGTGGGTGGGTCTGTATGGCAGGGCCCCGGCTTGGTACTAAAGGCCATCTTTCAGTTCAGTTAAGGCTGCGTGCGAGGCTGACTTTGTTTCTTTCTCTCCTTTACCACCTTTCTGCATAGAAAATGATGTGAACTTTGAGGAAGCGTACTTGGAACCCTGATTCTAAAACACTGATAGAGTAATTGTCAGAGTGATTTGTATTGCTTTACTTTAAAAAAATTTTTTTATTTGAAAGACAAAGTTAGGGACTGAGAGAGGAAGGGGGCGGGGAGAGCGCTTCCTTCTGCTGGTTTACATCCAATGCCCAGGGTTGGGTCAGGTTCTAGGAGCCTGGCACTCCAGCTGGGTCTCCCATGTAGGTGGCAGGGGCCCAAGTACTTGGGCCGTCTTCTGCTGATTTCTCAGGTGTATTAGCAGAGCAGCCGGGCTTCGAGCGGGCACGGTACAGGATGTCGACAGTCCAGGCTGCAGCTTTACCAGCTGTGCCACAGCACCAGCCCCTGATGGACTTTTTTTTTTTTTAAATTAAACATAAAGCAATGCAGAGACGCCCATAGAAATAAGCACACAAAACAAAACAAAACCAACACAGTCTGGGAGAAGGCTGACAGTTACTTGAGCCTTACCTTCCTGCTACCACCTTGGTCTATGATGACTCCACAGTGGGGCCGTGGGGAGCAGCCGCAGGAAGTGTTGCTTTTTTGCAGCCAGACGAATACTCTGCAAACTCCTACAAAAGCCCAAGGGTCCCAGGGTTCCTGTCCTTTCCTCTTCCTCCTCCTCCCCATCCTCTTCCTCCTCTTCCTCTCCTTGTCCTCCTTTTCTGCAGTGCATCTGGTTCATAGTATGCACAAAGTAAATATTTATTAAATGAATAAAACTATGCATATTGAAACACTCTGTTAAGGTCAACACATCATCTCCACACAGAGTCTCTGATTATACTCTGCCATCATCTCCCACCAGTGTGGCCACAAGTCCCTTCCCTGCTGGGGGACAGCAAGGGCAGGGCAGGGCAGGGCAGGTCCTGGGTGTTAAAACCACTGCGGCTCCCATGGGAGAGGAGACAGTAGCTCCACATTTGCTTTCTCCACATACATCTTTTTCCATAAACCTAAAATATGGTTTATTCATCTTTCGTTCCCCTACAATCCATGGGTGGAAGAAGGAAGAATGAATGGGCGAGAGGGTGAAAGACCAGAAGGTGGCGGCCCAACCTGCAAAACCCTGGACCTAGCGGAGAGGGGAGAGAGTGAACAGGACAAGACCCTGGCCAGCCAGGGGTCCCCTGCGCCTGGCTCCCTGCAGGGGGCACCGGATTCTGCACCTGTGGCATCAGTGGTGGCAGGCAACTCCCAGACCCTCGGTCGACCTGATCCCCAGGGCGGCGGGAGGTGGGTGGTGTTAGCAGTCTCGTTCCACACTCCAGGCCTCCCACCCCCAGCAGAGGCTGTGCTTGAATGCCAGGGGCTACCGCCCAGGGGACGGGTGGCGGATTGGAGGGGAGCACCCGCAGGGCGGGAGATGGGCCTTGGGGCCACCGGCAGATGAGAGGGGACCCATCCCAGCCACTGCACCCTCCCTCTTCACTCCAGGTCCCCGGCAGCAGGGAACTGGCCAGGACAGGGGAGGGGGTCCTCGCGCACGCCCCCGAGTCCAGACACGGCCGCTGGGTCTCTGAGATCCCCGGCAGAGCCCTTAGCGGCGCTACAATGAACCCCGGTGACCGGGCAGGGCCTGAGTCCTGAGCTCGCGCGTCCCACAGCGACGTGTCCTTCGCGAGGGCAGCAGGACAGCTGGACAAAGTTCCCTTAGTGATGGGCAGCGCCGAGGACTGAGGGTCCCTGGGCTCCCGAGCGCGGACGGTCTCCTGGAAGAAACGCTTTGAAAAGCACGAGCACGCCCCCCCGGGCTGCTGGCAGGCAGGGGGCAGCGCCTCCTGGGTCCCTTAGGCGAAGGCTTGGCAGCGCAGGTGGAGGGGAGGGGTCTCTGGGCCGGGGGACCCTCGAGTAGCCTGGGCTGCTCTGGCGGTCAGCGAGGAGGCTCCCTGGCACCCAGGACGCGGACTAGCAGCCTCCAGCCCCGGGTCGTACCGGGAGCGGGCGCTGTCCCCGCACGGACGCCTGCGGGGCAAGGCTGGGGCCCGGCGTCGCGCGCCCCGGGCCCCAAGGCGGCGCGCGAGGAGCGCATCCCAGAGCCGACCCTCCCGGGCTGAGCTCCCTGGCGCATCCTGGCTGCCGTCGCCACCGGGCAGGGGGGCTGGGCAGGGACGGTGGCCAGCCGGAGGGCGCCCCATAAATCTCTGACAGCGACAACCACCGCCCATTGGGCACCTCCGAAGTGTCCCTGAAGCCCCGAGCACGGGAGCTGCCCACGCCAGGGCCGGAAGGGTGGACAACTGGGCTCCCTCCCCAACGCGCAGCCCGGCTCTTCCAAGCGGGCCCTGCCGCCTACCCTCGCGGGGAAGCCCCCGCACTCCCAGAGAGTGGGGAGCAGCGTGGGAGCCCCAGTCCCGCCGCGCGGCGGCGAACAGAGCCAGACGGGAAGCCCTGCCCACTGCGGGGAGCCGGGGAGCCAAGGGGATCCCCGTCCTCGGCGCTCCGGGAGCGTGCAGCGGGGGAGTCCCTAGCGGGTCTCTGAGTCGCTGACCTTGGAGGGGCGTGGGGACCCTCTTAACCCACTAAGGGGCTGGGGAACGGGACGGTGATAGAGGCCCTCCGGGCCGCCCCGGAGCTAGCGGAGAGCGGGTTGGGAGCCGCCGGGATCCTCTGAGCCAGGTGGCAGTGGGGAGGGCTGGATAGGGGTGATGCCTCGGCCTCCAGCCCCCGCATCGGCCGCAGGAGAGCGGGGATCCCCGCCGCACCCAAGCTGCGCTCAGGATAGGACCGAGGAGGCGCGACCCTGTGGCTAAGTGTGCGCGCGCCGCGGGAGAGGACGCCCCGGGCCCCGCGCGCCCGTGCCCCCTCCCGCTCCCCGCTCCATCCGCGCGCCCCAGGCCTCTCCCCGCCCGCAGCCCAGCCGTCGGGGGGCGGTGGCGGGTGGGGGCCGGCTCCGCCCCTGCGCCGAGGCCGGCTGCGCGCGGGGTGGGGAGAGGCGGGCCGAGGGGCCCCTGCGGAACCGCCCCCTCCCGCGCTGTGGCGGCGGCGGCGGCGGCGGCGCCGGGAGCTGCCCCAGAGGCCGCCGCCCGGCCCCCGCCCGCGCGTCAGCGCGCCCAGCCCGGGGCGCCGAGCTCCGCCCGCGCCGGAGGCCCCTGCGCGCAGCTCCGCGGCGGCCGGGGTGGGACGCGGGCGGAGGCGGTGAGCGGCGCTGCCCCGGCCGGGCGCGCACGGCGGGCGCCCCGCGAGCCGCCCCGATGTGGCAGGAGGCGATGCGGCGCCGCCGCTACCTGCGGGACCGCGCCGAGGCGGCGGCGGCGGCGGCGGCGGGCGGCGGCGAGGGGCTGCAGCGGTCCCGGGACTGGCTGTACGAGTCCTACTACTGCATGAGCCAGCAGCACCCGCTCATCGTCTTCCTGCTGCTCATCGTCATGGGCGCCTGCCTCGCCCTGCTCGCCGTCTTCTTCGCGCTCGGGCTGGTGAGTGGCCTCCCCACGCGTGCGGCCCCGCGCTTTCCCGGTGCCCGAGAAAGGGGACCTGGCCCGCCGAGCCGCGTCCTGCCCGGGGCTGCCCTTCGGCCCGCAGCTCCCAGCCCCGCCCGCCCACCCGCGGCCGGCCGGGCTCGGGCCAGGGCTGCGGGCAGGAGAAAGTTTCCCGGGAACGCCTGGCCCAAAATAAAGTTGCCAGGGTGCTCGCCAGGTGCACGCGCAGGGCGGGAGGCGGCTTCTCCGGGTCTGCGCCCCGCGGGCAAACTCCGCTGCCCGCGGCATCTGCGCGCGGAGGTCTCGCCCGCGTGGGCCCCCGGTCTGCGGGGCGCCGTGCCGCGTCCTCTGGCACAGCCCCTGGGCCGGCGGTTAGGTTCCGATCGGGCGTTCCTTGACACTGTCAAAAGCCTGCTTGGGAAAGTGGTTGAGGGCAAGAAAATCGGGGGAGGGGGGAAGGAGACGCATCTTTGCCTTTTAGCGTGTGGGTGTGTGCAGCCCCGCATCAGGGGGCTCTGGAAGCAGACCCTCGGAGGACCGTGCGGTGGACGGGCCCGGGCAGGCTTGTTTCTTGGGGGGTTAAGGTGGTTTCATCACCGGGAGCATCCTGACGCTCCACAGCTGATGTCGCTTTTGCCATTTTTTTTTTCCAGGCAGAAATCCTTGGCTCCCTCTCTGAGCTGGGAGAGGAAATCTGTAGATGGCGGTAACTTCCTGCGGCCCAGCTCGCCCTCCGAGTGTGGGCTTCAAACTTTTGCCCCGCCTCGCCGTGCCTGTGCGCCCCGGGCGCGCGAGGCTCGCGCGGGCGGTGGTGGACATGGGGAAGGCTCCCCTGGGTGCCGCCTGTGGCCCTCAGCGCCTACGTGCGCTCACGTGTGTCTTTGCCCTAGAGCAAAGAAGGGGTTTCAGGCGCCTCTCATCAAGCGTTGGCAACAGCTGTCTTTGGTGTTTCATGGCTGGGTATCCTGAGGCGTAGGTCCTCAAATATTACGCGTGGGAAGAGTTGGATGTTTTCAAGTAATAACCAGTTTTCCCCGGCTCTCCCCACTGCTCGGGGTGCTGTCTTCTGATTGAGTTCAGTGAGGATGCGCGAATCCCATGCAGGAGGCGGGACGGCCGGGCTCACCCACTCATTCTTGCTGACAGGGTCTGGAGCAGCCAGCGCCTTGGGATGGCTGTGCTCCAGCGTGGACGGCCGGCAGCTCGGCCCGGCCCCCTCTGCTCAGAGGCAGCCTGCGATGGGTGTTTACCTCTCTCGGTTACTTTTAGGGCTGAAGAGGACTTGGAGGTTGAATTCTGCCCAGGCTCATTGGCAAGCACAGTCTCTAAGGACAACTCTTTCTTTTCCAAGCAGGGAAGAAGAAAAAAAAAAACTGTTCCAGTTTTCTTTCGGAAATCTGTTTTTGCCAGGCAATGTCTGCTTGTGACTCTTGAGCCTGTAATTCAAACCCATTCTGGCTTCTGTGTGTAAATGGGAAGGAGGAACAGGTGATGGCCTATTTATAGCACCGATAATGCAGTTAAAGACAAGGTGGAGGTTCGTGGGTTCACTGTGCACACACCACTTCTCTGCGGCAGAGCACTCCAAGTTCTTAAACCTTGTTGATGGAGATGTCTGTGAATAGGCGATTTAGCATCATCTGGCTGAAAGAACTCTCCTGTGAGATATCTGTGTTTTGGGTACTTGTGTTCTTTTTTAAAAAGATTGATTTAGTTGAGAGGCAGAGTTACAGACAGAGGTCTTCCATTCGCTGGGTCACTCCCCAAATGGCCACAATGGCTGGAGCTGGGCTGATCCAAAGCCAGGATCGAGGAGTTTTATCCAAGTCTCCCACGTGGGTGAAGGGGTCCAAGCACTTGAGCCATCTTCCACGGCTTTTCCAGGCCATTAGCAGGGAGCTGGATGGGAAGTGGAGCAGCCGAGACTTGAACCAGCGGCCATATAGGATGCCCATGCAGGTGGAGGTTTATTCTACTAAGCCACAGCATTGGCCCCCTATTTGTGGCCCCTTTTAAAAAATATTTTATTTATTGGAAAGGTAGAGAGAGAGAGAGAGAGAGAAAGAAAGAAAGAAATGAATCTCCCATCTGCTGGTTCTCTCCCTAAAACTCAGCATAGCTAGGGCCGGGCCAGCCTGAAGCCAGGAGCTGAAAGCTCACTTCTGTTCTCCCATATGTGGGAACATGGACCCAAGTACTTGAGCCATCACCAGCTGCCTCCCATGAGCACATTAGCAAGAAGGTGAAATTGAAGGAAGAGCCAAGACTCGAACCTAGGCCCTGTGAAATGGGATGTGGGCGTCCCAAGTGGTGTCTTAAACCCCACCAGTTTTTGCATTTCTTGACACACTTACTTTATAGTCTATTTTCTGGATGAAAGGCTAGAATGGTATCCTTTCAAAACTTCCATGGGGACGGTGTTGTGTAATGGGTAAAGCTGTTGTCTGCAATGCATGTATCCCATATGGGCGCCATTTCAAGTTCCTGTTGCTCCATTTCCCATCCTGCTCCCTTGCTGATGTGCCTGGGAAGGCAGCAGAGGATGACCCAAATGCTGGGGCCCCTGCACTCATGTGGGAGACCTGGAAGACACTCCTGGCTCCTAGCTGCAGCCCAGCTCCAGCCATTGCAATCATTTGGGCAATGAACCCATGGAGCAAAGCTTGCTCCCTTGCTCTCTCGCTCTCTCTCTCCTTTCCAATAAATAAATCTTTAAAAAAAAAAAAAACCCACTTTACCCAGACATCTTTACTTTTCTTTGACAAATTAATCATCTCCACATTTACTCTGCATGCAGCTAAATCGTTGTCATCGCAAAGTGGGCATTTCCCATGGCATGGCTGTCACCTAGGGTGAGGAGCAGGGACAGTAATGTGGCTCCTGTTCTCTTCCCTACCTGGTGCACGGTCTCATGCCTGCCGTGCACATCCGTGGCTCTGATGAGCTGTGTGTGGAAACAGGCTCATTGAGAACCAGGGAGGGTGGATCCCTGGTAGAGACGGTACCATTGGGTGGAGTCTGGGGCTCCAGGGCCAGCTCTAGGAGTGATGGGCGCTGTCTTCTGAAAGGGGACCTTGGGAGGGCTGGGGAGGGTGCTGAGCTGCCAGCGACTCAGCCCTAACTTTGCTTTCCATAACAGGGTCAGCCGTTTCCACCTCCCAACAAGATGTTCTCTCTGCAGAGAGTGGAAGTCGGACGGTTGTGCAGGGAACATGGAAGACAGAGGCGTGCTCATGTGGGTGGGATGAGTTCATTGCGAAGACTCAGCAGGCTTGGCTTCTGAGAGGTCCCCCTCCCTGCCCTGGGGAGCGAGGTGCTTCTGGTGCTCAGGTTTCCACCTCAGAGCACTTTACTCTGAGAGCTGGCTGCCGTGCAGTTCAGGAGCAAAGCCGATCTATTTTTGCTGCCTGAGATCTTGGACAGGTTCCTTCCTTGCCCTAAATCTGCCTGATTTTGATTCCATCAGCTCCTGTAGTCGAAAAAGTCTGGCAGTTTCCTGAGTGCACATTCCTAGTCTCCTAGAACATTTGGACTACGAAATGATCTTAGCAGAACCGAAGTCCTTAGAGATTTCTCGCTGTACGTAGTTACTTTCATGAGGTGATTTGCAATATATATTTAAAAAAGAGATTTTTTTCCAAGTTATTGTACTTTCAGCTGACACTGTTCCCCAAATGATTTTACTTAATTTCAATCAATGGGTGACCCATGATTCTGCAGTGTTGGCCATGAAATTAAGGTCATCTTCAAAAATTAAAAACCGTAAGTCCTGAGTTAAAACTTCACAGTATTGTTTTAACTGGCTATTCTCTACGTAGAAATGAGTAGCCAGCTTTAACCCCATAGTTGTGAAGAACTGTCTGAAGACGTCAAACGAAGTGAATGGCACATGATGGCATGTTTTGAATTTTAATACCACATTTGATAATATGAGAAATACATTCTGCATATTCTGTTATCTATAATAGACGGCATTAATGACAAATCTTATTTATAAATCCCAACATTATTTGTTGCATCTCTGCCAACTGCCAGGCTGAGAGCTGAGCTGGAAGAACAAAATAAACTGGACTCCTTGGCTCAGGAAACCAATGAGACCAAACTTTTAAATGTTTTTTTTTTTTTTCAGACTTTTAAGTTGTCTTATTGCGTCACTTTGTGTTTTGCAGCTGTCTCTCATTACAGCGTGCATGAAAACCCTCTTGCAGAATGAAGTTCTCTCATTCGTTTTGTCCAAAACCAGACCGTTGTTTTGTTTTTAAATTTGCTTATCACTGCTAGGAAAGGTTGATATAAGCCTTTTATTTTTTTCAAAATACCAGCTGGCTCCAGTCTGAATTGGTTTGTCTAAAGTTTATGATTAGGAAGAGTCAGTATTTCAATTTGAATGGAAACATTTTGTTTCCATAAATTCTGGATACTCGGATACTGTAATGTTTTTTCAGCATGATGCTGGAGAGTGTACACTTTTATTAAATACACATAAGTCATATATATGACTCACTTTTATCCTTTTATGGTGTTTTTAAAACAAGAACCGTTAGTGCTTTTCTTGAGAAATCCGTATTCCAGCATCAGATATTATCTAATGGTAGATCCATCAGAATATTTCTGTTTCCTATGCACTGAGGAAGAATCTTTATCTTCTAAAAGTGATAAACAGACCACTCATTAGTGGAGGGAAATGGACTCTTTCATCCCAGTATTTCAGCACCCCCTCCCT